AAAAATATTATAAGGCACATGGCAAACCAGTATCAAAATGACATAAGTCCCTTGTTATCAGTCAGCATTAAAAATTTTATGAAATTTGTGATTTACACTGTAACTAAATGGATGAACCTTGAGAACACTATGCTAATTGAACTAAGTCAGTTACCAAAAAGCAAAAACTGTATGATTTCACCTACAGCTACATGAAGTACTCAGAGCAGTCATAGGTCGGAGAGTCACAAAGTGTAATAGTGGCTTCCAGGGACTAGAGGAAGAGGGGCTGGGGAGGGACTTTTAAAAATGTGTGTAGAGTTCCCATTTTACAAGAGCAAAAGAATTCTGGAGATGGATGGGTGGTGATGGTTGCACAACAATCTAAATATAAACACCACTGTACCGGATTCTTAAAAATGGTTAAGATGGCAAATTCTGTGTGTATGTCACCATTTAAAAAAATAAGGAAAAAAAGTGACAGAAAACGTGTGCATCAATATTCATAGCTGCACTGATTATATAAGAATCAAAAGCAGAAATTACCCAAATGCCCACCTACTGATGGGTGGGTTAAAAATGTGTTCGCATACAGTGGAATGTTATTCAACAATAAGAAGGAGTGAGGTACCAATGCCGGCCACACTATGGGTGGACTTTGAACACATCGCGTGAAGTCAGGGGGCCGGTCACAGAAGATCATACTCTGTATGATTCCATTTATCTGAAATGTCCGGAAGGGGCAAATCCTAGACACAGTGGATGAATGATCACCCACAGCTGTCGAGGGGAAGGTGAGAGGGAGTGGGAGGTGGCCGCTAATGAGCACGCGATTTATTTCTTGTTGAGGAGATGAAAACCTCCTAAAATTAGACTGTGTTCATGGGTGTGTGATTCTTGAAATCCATGAGCGCTATGGTATGTGAATTATTTGTCAACAAAGCCGTTGGAAGAAAAAAACAAAGTGTTACCAGGAAATAAAAGGTAAAGTGAAAGCAGCTTCAGAAAGGGAGACTCGATGCCCTGTGTTTCCAGCACACTCGCACAGAAGGATATGACGTGGGCTGGAAGCCTGGAGAGGTGGGCAGGTAGGGGAGCAACGTTGATGTGGGGAAATCTAAATGTTGCCAGTCCCACCAGAGGTTCTGTGCGCAACCAGCAGAAGTGCACCTGGCGCCTGCTCTCCTCTCCCCACAATGTCCCATCTACTGTCAGCCCAGGGCCTCGCAGGTGCTGTCCCCTCTGCTGGATGTGCCCCATGCCCACCTTGGTCCAACCATCGCCTGCTTGCCTTCAGCATTCAGCTTCCATTCCACTTCCCCAGGAAGCCCAGTCTACCCCTGCAGGATGCGTAAGACCTCACACGTCAGACTGCAGGAGCCCCTGCGCCTGAGCCTCACAAAACATCAAAACACACCCATTGTGTATGAGAGAGGACTTCGCAGAGTTTATAGAAAGTTTGTTCTGGTGAAAAAAAAAAAAAAAAAAGAAAGAAAAAGAAAAAGAAAAAGAAAAGAAAAGAAAAGAAAAGGGAAATCCATGTCCAGGTTTATCACAATAGACATTTCCAGGAACTTCTAGTTTGAGGTTTGAGAGGTCCAGATCCCCTCTGCAGACATTCTCTGTACATGTAACCAATTTTTCCTTTTCTTGAGGAAAAAGATGAAAATAAATTATGACTAACTATTGTTCTCTGGTGAGTCACACCAGGATTGGATGGGATATTTTTTTTTTAGAAAAATCAGATTCACATCACTGAAACAAATACAGTGGGATGCTCACAGAGTTTCTGTGAGAAATCTGTGCGAACATTGCAGCTTGCTGCTGGGGGATATTGTTACCCTCAGGAGCAGGAGAACCTGGCTACTGTCCCCACACTGGAAGTGCAGGGCCAAGGACATGGGACCTCCCCACAGCCAGCCACTTTGCCCTGGAGCTAGCAGATGAAGGCTCTGGTGCTCCCCGCAGCACCCCAACCTCCTCTGCCCAGAAACGACAGGATGGAGGCAAGGACAGCCTCACTGTGACACCCAGGAACAGAGGAGACCCCCACCCCGGTGCTCAGTGACAGCAAGAAGAGAGCAGAGGAACGCACCAGCTTTGAGGCCTCCAAGTGTAATGTTTATCTTGCTTCATAAACGGAAAATAAGGTTTGGCCTAGAGACGTGAGTCACCCCCTTTTTACTCAGTAGATAACACCTGAAGCCTAGCTCCATGAGGACGAGGGCACACAGGCCAGCATGGCACTGCCCCATAGTAGGTGCTTGCCAAGTGCTGTTGAATGAATGAATGAGTGAATGTGAGTCACTTATCTGGAACGCTTGCTCGCTAGATCAAAGAATCGCTTCCTGTTAAAAATGGGACTCCTCGGGCACTGTCCTCTACGCCACCCTGCCCTTGGTCCTTGTCTGCGACAGAGCTAGGCCACACCACATTTCTGCAGCCTGCGTTCTTCTTGCCCATCATCGTCCGTCAGACTTCCATCTGGCCATGCAGCCACGCAAAGCTGCTGTGTGAGGGGCTGTGCGGGTCCCTCAGTTTAGGAGGGAAGGAGTAGGCATGCAGAGGGGGGCCCCCGCTTGGAGGCCCGGTCCCTTCCAGAATCCCCGTTGGCCATGAGCAGGGAGACCGTGAGGGCATCTCCAGAGGATGAGGCAGTGGGCCACAACTCCCCGGGGGTATTTCTTTGCAAAGAAACACACTGCTTTGTTCCAACAAGCTCAGCCATTGCTGGATGAACAACCTAGTTTACAAATATTTTTAATTTATACCTTATGTGAATATGATAGACTCCACTATTTTCTGAAAATCATGCATCAGTTGATTCAGTGGGATTCAGAATCCTTACAAATGAGCAAATTACGCTCTTAGCAAGGAATGCATATAGCTGTTTAGTACAGTTGTGTATTCCTGTACTCATATGTCATGAAATACACAAAATCACATTTCTTTTTTTTTTTTTTTGGACAGGCAGAGTGGACAGTGAGAGAGAGAGAGAGAGAGAGACAGAGAGAAAGGTCTTCCTTTGCCATTGGTTCACCCTCCAATGGCCGCCGCGGCCGGGGCACCGCGCTGATCCAAAGGCAGGAGCCAGGTGCTTCTCCTGGTCTCCCATGGGGTGCAGGGCCCAAGCACTTGGGCCATCCTCCACTGCACTCCCGGGCCACAGCAGAGAGCTGGCCTGGAAGAGGGGCAACCGGGACAGAATCCAGCGCCCCGACCAGGACTAGAACCCGGTGTGCCGGCGCCGCAAGGCGGAGGATTAGCCTGTTGAGCCGCGGCGCCGGCCACAAAATCCCATTTCTCCATGAACTTTTCCGAGTACCCTCTTGCATGGATCTAAATTCACACAGGCAGCCTAAGCCCATGTAAATGCACCTGAATACAATTCATTTCTCAGTGAAGCAGGATGGCTTTGCCAAGAGCAACCTGTTCTCACTCAGCTAGAGTTGAACGCTTTCTTATCAGATTTGAAAAACATTAGTTTAGATATTTCTAACAAACAAACAAAAAAAAAACAAAGACTTTACAAAAGTATTATAATAGTATTATATCAAAATTAGATAAGCAACAGAGCTTCAAATAAGTTTATAACCTTATTTTTGAAACTGTATTTGCACAATTCTTGGAGGAAGACAATATAAGTCAATTCGTATGCTGGGAAGTATGCTGCAAAGATGCCATCTAACTTGGAGACTTTCAGTCTTGGAGTCAGAGCCGTGTCCTGTGCTGTCTGCTACACACACACACACACACACACATACACACACGAGCATATGAATGGCACACGGAAGACCAGGACACTGGGAGCAGTTTCACAGGTCTGGCTTATTTTTAACTTCATGAGTTTACTAAAGGAGTACACTCACTTTTTGCCTAATTCATCTAGAATGCCACCTATGTGATCGGCATTTCTGCACCATGGCAGATGCAGAGCTGAGGGTTTGTTTTTTTGTTTGTTTGTTTGTTTTTCTTAGAAGGAATTCAGGCTTCAGGAATTAGTAATAAGAAGACCTAATTCCACCAACTTTTCCTGGCCCACTCGAAACAGGCAGCATCAAATGCTGGGGCCGAACAATTAGTAAGATGTTTATGGAACAGTAACAATGAGGAGGACTCACATGCTTTATCCAGTACCAGGCCCTGTGCTCACAAGGAATCCCGGAGTTGTTGGGTTACTACTCCTACATGACAAAAGAAGAAAGTAAGGTTTCGGGATTGGACTGTCTGCCCCAGGTCCCTGAGAATCTGCACCCCCTCTGCCAAGATGCAGGCGGGTCCTTGCCAAGATGCAACACGGATGTCCCAGGACTGTCCACGCAGCTCAAGTGTCGTGCAGATGGGACAAAGGCCTGAGTTGACAGAGGCGTCACCCTGGAAATTTTCCATCTGAGGTTACAAGACAGACAATTTGGTTACTTATGTTAAGCAAAAGAATTAGCTCTACTTCCTTCCACGCCACTATGCATAGAATCAAAGTGTGTTGAGAACCAAAATCTTTCCAGGATACTGTCCCCTAAAGCAGGGCCAGGTGGCTGTGTACAGGGCTACTGGGCTCTGTGTTCAGGAGCAGGGCAGGGCACCTCCCATGCCTGTGGCTGGCAGCTGAGCACAAGCCTTTAGTATTCAGCTTTAGGTATAAGAATAATTCCAGGGTCCTTTGACCTCTGCTGCCACTTACGGGGAAATCACCCGTGCCATGTGGATCCAAGTTGCAAGTAAGAGTGAAAGGCTGTCTACCCAGCCTGCCTCTGGGTATGTTTGTGTGTGTGTGTGTGTGTGTGTCACAAGGAAAACAAACAAGAGAATGTTTAGTTTGCTCCAGAGTTCACTCAATTCAAGGGGATACAATCAGGATTTGACAGAAGCAGGTCATAAACATTCTAGAACATTAAACAGATCCTGAAGATCTATCCTTAGGCCCCCATGATAGGGGGCCACTCATGCCCTGGTAGGGGCAGCATGGTCCACCCTCCCTGCATCTCGTCGCCCACCCCGACCTCCTTGCTCGCAGGGCGCACCTGGGGAGAGGCCTGACGCACTGGGAGAAGACAGCCATCTTCCTGACCGTGGCTGCAACCTCGGCCTCCTTCATCCTCCTGTGGAAACCGGCAAGCAGGGAGACGCGCTGGCTCCCGTCCTCTGGCGAGTGGCCTGCAGCTCTGGGCGCTTAGCAAGAGCCTCAAGCCTATCTCCACCGGCAGCACCACTGGGCGTGGTGGCACCCACGGGCCACCAAGGAGCGAGGCTCCTGCCAGCCGGCCGGCTCAGAGCTCCGCAAGCTGCCTGGCGGGCCCACAGCAGCACAGGTGCCTGAGCTGCAGGCACACTTCCTTCTTCCACCCCAGCCCAGCCCCGAGGGCCTGACTCCCCAGGGAGTTGGTCTGCAGCCCTGTGATTGGAGTTGCTGCTGAATTGCGAGAACGAAAAACAACAGACTCAGACTTTGTTTTATGGCACTCACCATGGAAGCAGGCAAAGGGCAACAGGAGGATGAGGCTGCAAGCCCCACCCAGGGAGGGCAGATCCTGCGGAAGAAGTTAAGATCCACAGCTGCGAAGATCTGGAACAAATTCTGAGCCAAACACACCAGCGCCCAGGGCGCCCCTCCCTCACCCCAGGCCCCCTGGATGCACCTTGCTCTCTGCTGAGCCAGGGGCCAGATGGGGACATGCACAGCTCTCTGCCTGCACACTAGCTCTCCAGTTGTAGCTTGCTGTATTTTTTCTTAAAAGTCCATCCTGTTAGCTCGTACCCTAAATAAGTTTTGTGAACTGCTTTCCTGGGACCTTCCAAATGCTCCTTATACTCGGGGACCTGTGTACCCCACTCATTGTGGCACTGATAGGATTTCCACCCTTCCCTCTGGAGATCACACCTGGCAGGTGCATAGGCCACGCCCACCCAAGATAAATCACAGAGAGAGCGCCTGCCAGGTCAGCCTCCTCACCCTCTCCACGTGACAAAGCCACCTGCCCTGGTGACGTCCTCTCTGATTATCTGCAGGTGCCACTTCAAAATAATAGACTCTGGCAACCGGCATCGAGATTCCAACTAACTCAAGTTCGTCCCAAGTCTAAAGCTGCTGAGCTGCTAACTGGTTACAGTCAGCAGTTTTCAGGCCACGTCTGGAGTGTTGACAGCAGCTCTAGGCAACCAAAGGGCATGAGTATGCATTACTAAAACCCAGGAGTAGGCAGGCAGCTATGGCAACTTTGGAAGATGGTTCTAAAAAATCCTTATCCAGGCCAGCGCCGTGGCTCACTAGGCTGATCCTCCCCCTGCGATGCCAGCACACCGGGTTCTAGTCCCGGTTGGGGTGTCAGTTCTGTCCCGGTTGCTTCTCTTCCAGTCCAGCTCTCTGCTGTGGCCCGGGAAGGCAGTGGAGGATGGCCCAGGTGCTTGGACTCTGCACCCGCATGGGAGACCAAGTTGAAGCTCCTGGCTCCTGGCTTCGGATCGATGCAGCACCAGCCGTAGCGGCCATTTAGGGGGTGAACCAACGGAAGGAGGACCTTTCTCTCTGTCTCTCTCTCTAACTCTGCCTATCAAAAAAAAAATCCTTATCTTGTTCTTCTGTTTTTCAAAATGCAATTGTGTAGAGAGTTCTAGTCAACTGGTTTACAATGTAAAGGAGAACGCCTAACAAATACATTTGGTGGTGACAAAATAGTGAGTTCATAGAACTTGGCGAGAAGCCCTGGAGTGACACTCTGCAGGTGCCCCTGTGGGAAGACACCACTGCTAACAAGTGAGCCTTCTCCCAAGGAGACACACAGGCTGGCGGGGAGCCCCTGTCTCCTGGGAGGCAGTGCAGGGAACCATGTAGCAAGCGCAGATTGTTGAAGGGACAGGGACAGGGCTGCAGGGCTGACATTTCTAAGGACTGAGCTCAGCCGGCAGCACCCTCTATCCAGTGGCACGAGCAGGCCAAACCCTACAAGACAAGAGCCACAGGGGCAATTGTACCCTGCTCAAAGTCAGCCAGACAGAGCGTGCGCTCGCCTGTCACTGCTGTCGCCTGCTCTCGGCTTGTGGCAGCCTCATCAGCGCTTTGTCACAGGGGTGGCCCTGCATCCAGCATGGTACCCAGTATGGTGCCCAGTGCCCCAAGATGCCACTCTAGACTGACACAAGCACCGTAAGATATGACGCGGTGTCCCACCCTGGGGTCACACTGCTGAATGCCCAGAGCCAGGTGAGCAAGATGGGACGCAGGCTTGACCCAGGCCACGCACGTGTGCACACACACCATACACACATGCACGCCCACATACATGTATGTCTCACTGCCCCCTCTACCACCACCCAGCTCTCACATTTTACATCGTGGCTCAATTTTAACCCATATGTTCAGAAATTTTCTTTATTTTCTTTGCTCTCCTTTGTGGGGCCTAAGAACCCTAGAACACTAGAGAGCCAGACCCAGAGGCCAACACCCATGTGCGTCTATTAAAATGCAATGATTAACGTGTGAGTGGGAGTCTCCTAGGCAAGGGAATCTAAGGCCTCCTTAGTCCCTGGGCTCATTTTTTCTGAGAAAGGGAGCAAATGTTTCCCAAGCACACACCAAGTCCCAGGTGGGTTATATTTGCTCTCATCCAATGCTCACAACCACCTGTGAGTTAAAGGGTTCATCTCCTTTCTGTAGCAAAGAGGGTCTGAGAGGTTAAGAGACCTGTCCAAGAGGACTGGGCCCAGAAGCAGGGAACCTGATGCCCACACCACTGACACGCATGCCTTCCCCACGAAGAATCCCAAGCTGAGAGCCCAAGGGACACATCGCGGTCCATCCTTTCTGGGCCGCCTGCCTGGCAGCATCGATCAAAAGCCTTCAAAATCCTCATTGCTGCTGCTCCAGTAACTCCAGGTCTGGGGAATCTATTCTAAAGAGCTAATCAAGCACTCCCTTATCACAGTGTCCTGGAAACACCCCGCAGGCTCATCAGGAGGAAGCATAAACCGGAGTCTGGCTGGCGGACACAGCACAGCCACTAAAAACCATGATGGCAAGGCACTGGCTGGCTTGTGAGAACGCCCACAGTACACCGCAAGGAAACGGGTTATGATGGGGTTTATGCAAGTGAGTGTAGGGGCTGGCAGGTGTCTGGACCAGTGGTTAAGGCTCCAGTATCCTGTAGCCCATAATACCCCATAATGAAGTGACTGGGGTCAAGCCCTGGCTCTGCTCCTGGTTCCATCTACCTGCCAATACACACCGTGGGAGGCGGCAGGCGATGGCTCAAGCACTTGAATTCCTGCCACCCACCTGCAGGGAGACCTGGAGTTCTTGTCTACAGACTTTGGCCTTGTACAGCCCTGGGCACTGCAGGCATTTGGAGAGTGAACTACAGGATGGCAGTTTTCTGTCTGCCTGTCCACCTGTCTTTCTACCTTTCAACCAAATAAGACAAAAATAATAGATTTCTTTAATAAGATATCTGAAGTGGTTACTCAGCACAGAAGTGCTGCAGGAAGTATGGGCTGGGACCCGAGAGGCTTCTTGCATTTCCAGCAAGATCCTGGTGATGCCGACGGTGCTGCCCACAGACCCCCCTTTGGTAAGCAGCATCCCACAAAATGATGTGTCAGGAAGAGCCTAGATTTTAAATCTCTTCATATACAGAAGGGACAAAAGAGGACCACAGAAAGATGAGAAGTGAAGTTATTCCTGGGACCTGGAGTTGCACACCTGTGAAACTTTCTCACTGTGCTTTTCTGTGCTTTGTGAGTTTCCTGAGTGAACACATATTCTGTTGATAATTAGGAAGAAGCTGCGAACGCTGCTCTGAAAGACAGGCAGTGTGAAGTAAACAGCCTGGGATTTGGGGCTCAGGATTTGGACCAAAATTCCTTTCGCTCTCTGAGACTCGGTTTCCTAACTTGGAAAACCTAACAGACCGTCACAAGGATTAAAGCACAGCCAACGTGTACGTTTTTCTACCCAGTGCCTGGCACCCGAGGGGAATCCCCCATGGCAGGTCCTGCCGCCTCTGCTGTTGGAAGCAAGGAGCTGTGTCTAGGAGAAGCAGTTCTACTCCTGTGGTTTTCCCAAAGCACTTTTGCAGTGGTTTTCTCCTTGGTCCCCACACCATCCCTGTGACGGGGCTCAAGGAAGAACGAACATGGTAGAGTTTTGGTGCGCGGTATTGTAAGGAGGGTAACCAGCTGGCCCAGGGTTGTGAGGTGCCAGCGTGGGGCCAGGCCCAGAGCTTCCATTCACAGAATGCAGCTCCCCTTCGCCTGCTAATGCCCCTCTCATGCACCACACACACACACACACACACACACACACGGACTACAGTGGCTGCTCTGTGATCCACGGCAGGACCAGGGCCCCGAGCTGTACTAGCCTGGGACAGATGCAGAAGAGGGGCCTGGGGAGCCCTCACACTTGGGTCCCTTAGCCCATCCATGCCTCTCAAGGGTAACCCTTGCTCACTTGTGGGACTTTCGAGACATCACGATGTGCTTTTCCTCCTGCGATGTTTTGAACCTTGAGGCTGCAGAAATAACTCCAAGCCCAGAGACAGGTGTGCTGTCAGCAAGCTCCTTCCAGCCGCAAAGGCAATTCAACAGCTACAGCTCCAAAGCCCACCTGGGCTCCGAAATGGCTCAGACTGGCTGTCTACCATGGTGGCAAATGCGTTAGATAACGTGGAATGCTCCCCTCTGCTGGGATAGCTTGCACACATGGACCTGCCTCATCTACTTCCTCTTCTTGTTTAATATCCCAGAATGACATTACACAGAACCCAACAGCCATTGTGGGTTACTGCCATCTAACCAAACCCAGGATGCAGAAGCAACACTCACAGACCACAATGCTGTGCCCACAGCTTTAACACTGTGCTTTCCAGTCGTGCCTCACTGTGTCAGAGTACTAGCATAAAGCCCCAGGGCAACAGCCCCCTCGGGGTCAGGAGGTGGCCCTGCACACACAGCTGGGCCCAAGTCACTCCGACTGGACTCAGGCCACAGGGCCCGGACACCCTCAGTGTGCTCTGGAACCCCCTCCCATGCCCAAGATGCAATGAAAAGTCACTTACGGACTTGTTCTTTTTTTTTTTTTTTTTCTGACAGGCAGAGTGGACAGTGAGAGAGAGAGACAGAGAGAGAAAGGTCTTCCTTTGCCGTTGGTTCACCCTCCAATGGCCGCCGCTGCAGCCGGCGCACCGTGCTGATCCGATGGCAGGAGCCAGGATCCAGGTGCTTTTCCTGGTCTCCCATGGGGTGCAGGGCCCAAGTACTTGGGCCATCCTCCACTGCACTCCCTGGCCATAGCAGAGAGCTGGCCTGGAAGAGGGGCAACCGGGACAGAATCCGGCGCCCCAACCGGGACTAGAACCCGGTGTGCCGGCGCCGCAAGGTGGAGGATTAGCCTATTGAGCCACGGCGCCGGCCCGGACTTGTTCTTAAAGACAGGACCATGTAGTCTCTTCCAAGGCCCTCCAGAAACCCACACTGCAGACCTGAGAGGCTGATCCCCGCCCCCCCCCCCCCCCCAGAAAAAGAACAGGCAACGGCTGGCCCAGCTGGTGGTGTGCTTCTGATCTAGGGTCACTCCAGCTGGTGGTGTGCTTCTGATCTAGGGTCACTCCACCATTGTCAACCAGCTGTCACACCATCACTCCACCCTCAGAGGTAGGCCAAGCACAGGTGACAAAGATGCTCTCTACAAGAAAGGTTTGTCCTTTCTACGGCTCACTGCAGTGCTGCCTCCACCCAGGGTCACAGACTCAGGTCCTCTGCTCACCACGGCAACCCACACTCACCCCAGCGAGTTCCTCAGACCATCTAGGTGCCTTCCCCGAAACAGTCCAGGACAGCCCTCCCAGGCCTGGCCGTGGGACTGGTTCTTCATTTCACTTCCCACCTGGAGCCCATGCAGTGTGGGACAAACGCAGCTGGCATACTTATAAGATCACATCACATCTATGGCAAGGCCATGCAAATGCCATTTCCCAGAGCGCTGGCACTCAACACAGCTGCCCAAGCACTGCACTCGCTGTCAGGGCCTGGCCTGGTCCCCAGCTGATGTACACAAGCCACTCAAGAGACAGCGTGGTGGGCAGGGACAGCTCTGTGGCACAGTGGGTTAAAGCCCTGGTTTGAAGTGCCGGCATCCCACATGGATGCTGCTTCTAGTCCCGGCTGCTCCTCTTCCGATCTAGCTCTCTGCTGTGGCCCGGGAAGGCGGTGGAGGATGGCCCAAGTGCTTGGGCCCCTGCACCCGCATGGAAGACCCAGAAGCAGCTCCTGGCTCCTGGCTCCAGATCAGTGCAGCTCCAGCCATTGCGGCCATCTGGGGAGTGAACCAGCAGATGGAAGACCTCTCTGTCTCAACCTCTCTCTGTAACTCTGTCTTTCAAATAAATAAAATATCTTTAAAAAAATAAAAAAAATCAGTAGTGCAGACACTGCTGCAAATACTCAGCTGCTTGCTCAGGTTCATGGCTGCTTAGTGCAAGGGCACCATGAGGACACCTGGCCTCCTAACACCACATTCCCTGCTCCCCTTCCCACAAGACGTGGCCCTCCCGGGCCTGCCTCCAAGTCGACAGCTCCCAGCCTTATCGTTTCAGACACTGCGCTCCCCGGTGACATCTGTCCTGTTTCTCAGTCACTCGGTACGGGTGTGAGGAGGCACACGGCTGACAGAGGGGGAGCAGGAGAGAACAGAGTGAGCTGGGGCCGGCCGGCTGTTCTCCAACTCCTGGCAGCTGGTGGCTCCGTGCAGAACAAGGCTCGGGAAGCTCACGGCCTAATGAGGAAGCCACGCGTCTGTGACTCAATGCGGAGGCATCAAGACTCACAGGAGAGGATGTGCTGCAGTAGACTGGGAAAATGGGATTCAACACTGAGGACAGAAATAAAGACGTGCCACACACAGCAGGTTTCTGCACTTACTGGGAAAAAAGGACGTGACAGGAACCAGCAGGCGCATGAAATTCCACATCTGCCCCGGTGGGCTGGCACCGTGCAGACCTGATGACACAGAGGCTGCGGTAGCCGACGACTGGCCCTCGAGGGCTTGGTGAGCACCATCTGTCCACACTTCAGCATGGCCGGCCTGCCCATTCACTTGCCTCATGACCAACCCTCATATTCCCCACCACCCAGCCTGACCCCAGGTTAAGCCATGAACCTGCAAACTGGTTCCTGAGACTTGGGAGCAAAAGCCAGCTTGCTCCAACCATCTCCTTGACCTACAAGGCTTGGAGTTGGATGCAAAGATTTGAGGAATTACAAGATTATTGAAAACAAGGGGCTGGTGCGATGGCATAGTGAGTAAAGCCGCCTTCTGCAGTGCCGGCATCCCATATGGGCTACCGTTCGAGTCCCGGCAGCTCCACTTCCGATCCAGCTCTCTGCTATGGCCTGGGGAAGCAGTGGAAGATGGCCCAAGTCCTTGGGCCCCTGCACCCGCATGGGAGACCCGGAAGAAGCTCCTGGCTTCAGATTGTCCCAGCTCTGGCTGTTGCAGCCATTTGGGGAGCGAACCAAAGGATGGAAGACCTCTCTCTTTCTGCCTCTCTATAACCCTGCCTTTCAAATAAATAAATAAATCTTTAAGAAAAATTTGTTTGCCTATATGTTTTGAGATTGACAGTAAAACTGCAGGTAATAGTTTAATGCCTTTATGGGTCCAAAATACCTTGCTGATTTTCATAACTAAAAGGATATTTAGTTTTATCTAAAGGGATATTTGGTTTTTGTCTTAACATTAAAATAGTTTAGACAACCAGTATAAATGCACTACAGAGTTTAAATCTGCTGTTAAATTATTTCCTCATTTTTCTATTCTGCAAGCTGCTGCTGTTTGAGGAAGGTTCCTTACCCCACGGGGCTTTTACCCTAAGACTGTGACCTTAGAAAGGGCCAGGCTATGTGGAATTCAGCTTTGTGTTCAGATCCTAATAAATTATTATAAACTCACATGAGTGTATTCTAAAGCTAATTTTAACAGTTCTTTTGAAGACGCTTCCTTTTCATCACCACAAGGAAAGATGAGGAAGAATGGTAATACCTGGCACTCTGGTTGCTACTCGCTTGTCCCTGGCAGACATCAACAATCAATTACAGCATTAGTCTCAGGATTGTTCACGGCACAGTACTCTAGGCAGCCACTGCCAGCAGTTCAGCATGATACTTGGCTAGAAGCATGCTGCTACCATCAGCAGAAATAGCAACAACTCGGCAGAACTCCATTCTAGCCTTGGTTCTGCCACTAACAAGCTATCTTGTTAAGCTGAGTGACTTAAGACAAATCACTGCCTTGCCTAGGCCTGCCTGAGCTGTGATGGAACTGGTCTGGACTCTGACATCTAACATCCTATTGGACCACTTTTGGAAAACACAGGTCTGTAGAATTGGCACAAACTTCCTTTTATGTGCAGATATTTCAGTTGGCCAACATATAAAACATATGGAAAATGTATCTTATCAGGAAACTATGCACGGATTGCAACATTTTTGCACCAAAATAAATTTATCTGTCAGTTCCTTTTTTCCATGAACATTCTGAAGCACCCTTGTGTAGTCACATGTTAATATTCATGGGAGACGGTTCCAGGAGCCCCCAAGGACCCCAAAATCTGAGGGTGTTCAAGTCCCTTATATAAAATAGCACAGTATTTGCAGATAACCTGCACAATCCTCCTGTATACTCTGAATCATGCCTAGATGACTCATAATACCTAATACAATGTAAATGCTGTGTAGATAGTTGATACATTATATTGTCTAGGGAATGGTGACAAGGAAGATGATCTCTACATGTTCACTACAGAACCAATGTTTTCCAAAAATATTTCTTAAAAAGACTATTTATCTGAAAAGCAGAGTGACTAGAAGAGATGAAGAGATAGAGATAGAGATAGAGATAGAGATAGAGATAGAGATAGAGATAGAGAGAAAGAGAGAGAGAGAGAGATCTTCCACCTGCTGCTTCACCCCACCAAATGGCTGCAACAGCCTGGGCTGGGCCAGACCAAAACCAAGAGCCTGAACTCCATCCGGGTCTCCCATGTGGATGGCAGGAGTCCAAGCATTTGGGCCATCTTCCTCTACTCTCCCAGGTGCATTAGCAGGAGCTGGATCAGAAGTGGGAGAGCTGAGACTTGAACCCTTGCTCCAATATGGGATCACAGGCTGTGGCTTAACCTGCTGCATCACAATGCCAGTCCCTCCTCAAATATTTCGGATTTATAGCTGTAG